ACATCATCACTGGGCATCACAATATAACCTTTGTGTTAAAAATGTGACCAGTAAGAAGCTTTACAATGCGTCATGGATTTCCAGATTCGCTGTGATGAATTTATTAGTAAGTTCCGCCTCAGAACAAATTGACCCTTGGACCTGTAACAAAATATATTGCACATTGTGTGTCATTGACAAAAAAATACTGAAAATTTATTTCACTTCGAAATCAATATAACCATTATGTATATTTGAAGTGAATGTTTATCTTCGGTACATCTTTTTTTTAATTTAACTTATTATGTTCACGATAAATTAGTGCACGTAAAAAGGAAAGATGTACAGGAATAGTCAGAAACGAAATATGGCCCGGATTTTGGTAATGTGGTACGTCACGAGTATTCTCGGATGTTTGTATTGGAGTGATGTAAAAAATATTGTGTCTGGATAGATTTGTCTTTAATATTCGTTTAGACTTTTAAGCATTTTCCTGCAGTTCTGTGTAATCTATATTGAAATTCAAAATCCCGCGTTGTCATACGAAAACGCTGTCCCCAGACTGTTGATCCCGTCATGTACCCACTTAAATGTCACTTTAAAGTGCTATCTCAATGAAATGTCAAAACTTGGAGACGATTACACCCAGAAATATATTATTCAGACTGCATGCTTATCAGTTGAACGTGAAAAAAATACGAATGACACCCCACTGAAGTTGTTTGTGTTGTTTAACGGAGAATGATGTAATTGGAAATTGAACAAATTATTTCGTCTTTTATTCATCAGAATAGGGACTACAAAGTAACATTACGTCTATGTCCTTAATTGTCTTCAATTATTTTGAACATTTCTGTTCATTGAATGTCTGTATGTCGGTCAGCAGAAATACAGTAGCCCAAATACAAATATTTGTTGTTTGTAGTCATACATAACAGAAAGATAAGTTTTAAAAAATGTATGCATTTTATTGCAAATGTTGTGAATACGCCTTTAGAATTAAAAAAATAAAATACTGAAATTAAAACGCTCACAACACGGACATGCTATCAGTTACTCTTCATTGGAAGAGGATACGGTATATAGCTGATAAGTACATAGCGCTTTATATTTTACGGCGGAGATCCGGGTCTGACATTTAACAACACTTTGTACATATTCCGGTGTCTTTAAAAAACGAAAAAGAAGTTATTATCAAGTTTAGTTGGTATCCATTTCGTGTAGTTAGTCAGGTGTGACGAACTTTTTGGTTGTGTATACAAGTTAAATTAGTACTCTGGTGATTGTCGTTATGGAGTCCTATTCATATCTCCAATTTTCTCCTGTCTGAAGATTTGATTTTTTTTTTGTTTAATTTTGTTTTTGTTTCTGGAGTATAGTCTCATGTGGTCTCATACATTTGTTTATTGTATCTGTCCCCCCCTGTTTTTTTTTTTTTACACGTTTATAGTCAACAAAATTTATTTTAAATTGAACTTGTATTTCATGTATTTGCATGTGACATGTTGAAAGGTCAACGTTGAAGGAACAATTGAAATGTACATATGTCGTCACAGATGTGGTATTGTTATGTCCGTGGTAGCCACACTTGTACCTGTTTAAAGCAAACTGACCGAGGGAAAAGAATTAACATGCTGTGGAGGTGACTAATTAAGGTATTCTGAACACTTCATCTTCAGCGTGAATTATTTCTAAAAAAGTGTCTTATCCAACTGCAGGTGACTACGGGGGCGAGTGATTTGGACCGGTATGAAATGTTTTATGTGTATTTTTCTAGGGTACATAAAAATATGATCATCTTGTCTCGTTTCAACACATAAAATATTTTTATTATCTTTTCTTTTAAATTGTTATCTTCTGTTGGTGTCACCTTGAATACCTGTCCTGATATGACCTTCGCGGATGCGGGAACTTTAAATCTAACTCAAAACTCACAAACAAACAAAACCGGATAGTTCAATGAACGCAACGTGAACAGAATATACAAATACATTGTGTGGATGTATGTGTGTAGCGTAACACCTAAACGAGCAAAACACATGTTCCACAGACAATTAGTTTTGTTGTAATGTGAACCGTGCCGTCTTGTGTACAAAACCACCAGAAACCTTGTCCAAATATTGCCGTTCTTCATAATGAGCAACGCCGCTTTCTAAAGCAGAGAATTTAGGTCATTAAATGGAACAAAAATGTGAAACATGACACAAACATTACGGACATTTTTTTATGAACATTAACAATAGACTATTTATAAATCACCGTTAAGAATAAAGTTTGTTTCAAACTATTAAATTTCTCGACCGTCACTCCTAACGTGGGTGTTTTACACGCACTGGTATGGCAGGGCTATGTTCCACTGGAAGCTCCATACACTACAAGAACCTGCATTCTCTTCTGTATCAATGTAAGGTGGCTATTTGTTTACGTATTGATAAACTATAATCAGCGGAGTGCACTTCGATGATCGTGTACTGGCTGGGAGGCTGACCCAGTGCTGGAATGACCAAGGTCAGCAATCCCTACCCTGTATCTTGAGCTGTGTGTGTGGTGTGCTAAGTTACACAGCAGCGGGCGGATATAGACCGACAGAAAAAAAGTTTACACAAGACTTCACACTGGGAGTAAAAACATAATTGTAAGTTATATACATCGAGGTGACAATTGTGTTCGATAAGTATGATGGACTTGTAAATTGTACGGGTGTGTAATGTTCAAAATTATATTATTAAAAATTTAAACCACGGAGAGGAGAGGAGTAGCTGGGATCGATATCGTGACATTCCTGGGGTCATATACATTAACAGAGGTTGGAATACAACGGCGGGCGGAATAGGGAATATTTCTACTAAGAAGGTTAGTAAATCTGTCTATAGAATAGAAGGCTTTATTTGTCGATAGCTCTGCATACTATGTTTTAGTCTGTCTAGATCGTCAGGCACAGGAATACAAGTAATCTCCTTCAAACGTCTCTTGTGGCTGGTTGCAACATATTGTCATACCAATATTTGCTACAAATGTCTCATTTACCAATCATATGGATCAAAAGACTATAATTCCTTACTGCTATTTCAATTTCACTCCATCACTCTATCGTAGTCTGTAATGTCTCTCTCGCCCACATTCCATCACTGTCTGTAATATATCTCTCTCCCACCCCGTCACTGTCTGTAATGTCCCTCTCTCCCACCCCATCACTATCTGTAACGTCCCTCTCTCCCACCCCATCACTGTCTGTAATGTCCTTTTCTCCCACCCCATCACTATCTGTAATGTCCCTCTCTCCAACCCCATCACTGTCTGTAATATATCTCTCTCCCACATCCCACCAATGTCTCTTCCATCCCATTACTGTCTGTAATGTCCCTCTCTCCCACATCCCACCACTGTCTGTAATGTCCCTCTCTCCCACCCCATCACTGTCTGTAATGTTCCTCTCTCCCACCCCACCACTGTCTGTAATGTCCCTCTCTCCCACCCCATCAATGTCTGTAATATATCTCTCTCCAACCCCATCAATGTCTGTAATGTCCCTCTCTCCCACATCCCACCACTGTCTGTGACGTCCCTCCCTCCCTCAACATCCATCAGTTACTGTGACGTCCCTCCCACCCTCAACACCCATCAGTTACTGTGACGTCCCTCCCTCCCTCAACAATCATCAGTTACTCTGACGTCCCTCCCTCCCTCCCTCAACAATCATCAGTTACTCTGACGTCCCTCCCTCCCTCAACAATCATCAGTAACTGTGACGTCCTTCCCTCCCTCAACACCCATCAGTTACTGTGACGTCCCTCTATCACCACCAATCATCTACTTTAATTAACAGATAACTTACTGTAATGTCACTCCCTCCTAACAGATAACTTACTGTAATGTCACTCCCTGTTAACAGATAACTTACTGTAATGTCACTCCCTGTTAACAGATAACTTACTGTAATGTCACTCCCTGTTAACAGATAATTTACTGTAATGTCACTCCCTCCTAACAGATAACTTACTGTAATGTCACTCCCTGTTAACAGATAATTTACTGTAATGTCACTCCCTGTTAACAGATAACTTACTGTAATGTCACTCCCTCCTAACAGATAACTTACTGTAATATCACTCCCTCCTAACAGATAACTTACTGTAATGTCACTCCCTGTTAACAGATAACTTACTGTAATGTCACTCCCTCCTAACAGATAACTTACTGTAATGTCACTCCCTGTTAACAGATAACTTACTGTAATGTCACTCCCTGTTAACAGATAACTTACTGTAATGTCACTCCCTCCTAACAGATAACTTACTGCAATGCCACTCTCTCCTAACAGATAACATACAGTAATGTCACTCCCTCCTTACAGATAACTTACTGTAATGTCACTCCCTGTTAACAGATAATTTACTGTAATGTCACTCCCTGTTAACAGATAACTTACTGTAATGTCACTCCCTGTTAACAGATAACTTACTGTAATGTCACTCCCTCATAACAGATAACTTACTGTATTGTCACTCCCTCCTAACAGATAACTTACTGTAATGTCACTCCCTCCTAACAGATAACTTACTGTAATGTCACTCCCTCCTTACAGATAACTTACTGTAATGTCACTCCCTGTTAACAGACAACTTACTGTAATGTCACTCCCTCCTAACTGATAACTTTTGTGATATCACGCCCTTCTGACCGCTTTGTTTATTATAATACCTCATGCTGCGCCCGTTTTTTTTAAAAATAGTAGTCCATTTTCCTCACGGAAGGAAAAAGGTTTCATAATGACTGGGAAAGTTCAAAGATCACTGAGAATATCATTCTAACCCATAAGGTATACATGTTACACTTAGTGTGTGCGGTATGTTACATCAAAATATTATATTTATAGTACAAGCGTAAGTACTCTGTTAATCCTTCTACCGAGCACAGTGCTATGTACATTAATAATTTGATCCGTGTGTTATTATGACGTACACAAAGCTGGGTTTATCACCCCAGTACTAGTGGAATATACATTAAGATTTCACCTACGGGATGGGTACTCCTCGAGTCATGCTATTGTAGGGCCGGCAGCTGTTCTCGATGTCAATGAAATCGACCTGTTGCTGAGAATACTGAGGTCAATTCAAGTTGAGTACATTTGCACCGTCACTCGGACAAATATAACCTTGATATACCGCGAGGCGCCAACAAGGTTATAGGAATATAATTTCATTATATATAAGTACTGCATATACAATCATCTTCCTCGTGGTATCGGAAGACAGTGCTTGACTTTGTACGAGAGTCGATGTTTTAATATCCCCATCGTATACACACACTCGGGATTCGGAGGCTGGTTGCACGTGACGTAGATAGCGCTATCGATCTGTGTCCTCTCACAGAGATCTTGGTTCTACTACAATGTCAAAGCAAAGTCAATTCATGGGTACAATTCGAGAAACCTAAGCCGGGAGCATGCCATTGCCAATAGTGAGTATATTATACAAATTATTTCGGGGTAGCTTTTACTATGTTATTCACCGTCTGTAGACTAGCTTTACCTATATATTAAGGCTCTCATGTAGCTGATAGCTATCTGTTTTTTAACGATCTACACCACTGCTCTCAAATTTCTATACATTATGACGTGGTTATGTTTAACAACTTTAAATGGAGTAGGTATACTGATGTAAGTCAAATGCTATTTGTCTGATACGTTCACATGTATAGTCACGCTCCAATCCTGTTCTCTTGTTAATAAAACACGTGTGTACAAAACACGTGGTTTATATACAGTACTTGTACTGCAGCGTGTAGCACTAACTGGTGAACCTTGCCATCAGCAACCTTAAGCCATCGACAAATGCGTGATTCTGGAATGTCCTTGACCTCTCGTCAGCTTAATTAAGAAAAAAAACCTGTCCTGCAGTCGCAATATCTGTCACATATTTCAGAGTTACATTTCATTTACATTTGACTACGAACCTTGTTTGCATTCGATTTTTATGCCAAATATCATTTCAAGTGTGCATGTATTTGCTAGGTTAATATTCATATTGAGTGCAAATATTGCTTACATGCAGAAAGAATAAAGGTCTTTCAATGAGTCGTACACCACACTCAAATATTGCCTACACTACTGAAATATAAATAGCGCGTGCTATTATGATACCAACACGTACAAGCATCAATGGCGAGTTTGACGTCATCAGTCGGGAAGTAATATGAAAGAGAAGTTATGACGGACGTGGTGTCGATTACATTTAGGTAATTCACATCTCGGAACAGAGTTCTCAAACATAAAATGCATAAATATGTTCATCATGTCACGTTTGAACAGACACCCTATGTACAGGTTTGACAGTATTCAAAAGAGGATATATGGAAATCTGATTTGTAGTTTGGGGTTGAAAGAACGTTTTCATTCTTCTATACAAAGATATGCAGTGTTACCCCATGACTAGGTACATTTATTAGCTCACATACCCTGAAGGGAGGTAACTTTACACAAATTACTGCTAGAGGTTGTGTCCACTGTGTCTGGCGTGTGATTTAGTTCCTAGACAAGGTACGAAAAGAACGTGTCATAATTTACTGCAAGTCAGCACTTTTGTTGAGATTTTTAAAAAAAAACTTACATAATCTGTCTACAATTTCTACTACGAAATTAAGTCATCCTCCCTGACGTGTGAGTAATATCTACACCACGTTTAAAAAAAATGTATGGGAGTAGGGGTGAGTTGGGGTTGAGGCCAAATGACGGAACACATAACACGGGAGATAACTCTGTGGACAAGGATAGAAAGTACATTATATAATGCCATCGTTTCATTCATGACGAAGTTTCTTAACAAAAGAAAATTAGCAGTTCCAACTTTGGTATAATATCATCCCGAATTTCGTGAACAGGTTAAGGAACTCTTTACAGGGATGTACTGTGAAAACCAATCTCCTCATTTAACAAATCGCCGGTCAACGTTAAATTTGTGTAAATGTCCATCAATCTCCTGACCACCTTCTAAGGGATTTATTATCTACGTTTACAAATATTCAGTGTATGCGTTTATAATTTTGTCAGTTTAATGATGAAAATGGTGATAGCTTTCTCAGAGGTGTCTGATAATTCGTTAATCAACTCTTAAGTGTTCTACTGTCTCACCAGACTAGGTGGATATATAACTTTTGAAACATTCCAGTTACTAACATTTCTATCATGATTTCAAACAATTTATTAATCAATTTCTCGATTCGAGCAATTTATACAGTTACTGTTCGAGTCACGCTATTACTTAAAGTTTTGGATTCAAATTTTTAAAAAATCTTCAATATTCTTTTCAAACGGGGTTCTTTTTTGGCAAAATCGCGATTTGCTCGATGAAGTGGTGTTGTTACAAAGATCCATACCAACATTTAAGAACGATCTTTATTCAAAAGTGAACCTTGTGTTTATTTGGTTTATGGGACAGGTCTACAACCTCTTATGGTAAATCGCGTGCATGCGAAAGCGTAATGCGGTACATATTTTCTAAAAAGGGGTGCAAAATTGTAATTATAAAAAAATGTTGTAAAAGTGTCTGTCCGGAAAGGACCTTTGTACATTTATAATTTACATCGTTGATGTCCGTAAATGATTATCTAAAATAGGATATTGATAAGGATTTTTAAAACGATTTCATTGAAATCAGTTTGTTGTGAAATTTTAAGTAATCGGTCACTGACTTGTCCACTAGTAAAATTTTAAGTAAACGGTCACTGACTTGTCCACTCCCGACCTTGGTCAAAAACCTGAAGGACGGGGGTCAGATGTCCTTAGAGTAACCTATAAGACATAATGAAAAATGTGGCTTATCTTTTCGCTACAAAGTCGATTTATACATAACTACTCAGCTCGGCGTGGCGCCACAATGGAGAACAGGTTCCCTGTCAATTCCAGTCATATTCATTTCGCTTGGTACTAATTAATACACAGTAGAGGGATGTGTGAACGCGCGTGCAGTGCAATTTGTCTTCGTGTCCTGTCTCATCAGCGCCGAGTTTTATAACGGCAACAAGCAGACAAACGAAATAGAGGAAATATTCTCAATTCAATCACTGGTGTTAGCGTGCATTGGCTTGTAAACTTGATTGAATGCACTCTTTTGGGAAAAAGATCTGTATTTTGAAATCCATAACGAATTGCGTGGATTTTGTCATGGCAGGAATTCAAACAAATTAGAACATTTCGATTCATTGGAAAAAACTACTGACGGCTATTTTTCATTATAACGAAATATTCGTATTGTACATGTAAGTATTGGTCATTGTTATTCAACTTATTCATACTTTTTATTTTTTTCACTGACCAGAACCACAATAGCGCGATATTATTCTTAAAGTTTTACGTGGGCAGTAAGGTCTTTTGACGTCACGTTTCTGCCAGTGACAAGATGGCACATTGGATGATGGTCAAAAGGTGATCACATTTATTTCGGTACAATTTCATTTAAACCTGGTGTAAAATATTTTTTTATATTACACAATGAAATCAAATATGTCCAAACATCAATAACTATGTTTTTATTGTGTATCAATATTCTCTCAATTAATATTACCAGACAAAAATTTGCTCTAACAAGTCGGAAAAAAAATCGAGGCGAAATGGCGGGAAGTGGTTGAATTACTAGTATAGTTGACAGGTGAGGTCATATGTGGACAGTCAAGGATAATGTCTTCGCTCAAGGGCCGCTGTTTCGTCTTGTCGAAATGTCACAAATTAGATACGGACACTGATTTTATACGTATGTGTGTGTTTTACGTCTTTTGTCAGAGTCAAGGTCATGATAATGAAGATGAACATTAGTGACCACTAGTGATACGTCATTTAAAGCCATTTTAATGCCATCTTTTCAAACCTGGACGTGAGAACATTGCTATCAGTAATTATTCTAGCAATGAGATAACTATTAGATTTTTTTTAATTGAAACGAAGAAAGGACGTAAGACAACACGAGGCGTCCATGTGTTGCTATAAAGACACGGTAGATTAAAGGATCTTTATCACCCCAGCAGTTATTTAGTAATCAGGACAGTCTAAGAGCAGATTTATCATATTTCGTTGACACTAGATAATGCTGCATATAACCCAAACATGAAACTGCATATCTGACGCATTTTTCACATTTTGTATGTCACTAGACCTGATGACGCATCGACTTGTACTTTGTAATTCGGAAGATCAAGAAGTTAGTTAAATTAAAAGCTTCTGACGTCATTCGCGTCACACCACCTGTAAATTTAAACATCAAACATACCTGTGCGGTTTAAAATTGTATAGGCATGTTAGAGATGTCGTGTCGTGTCCTGTTTCAAACTAGGCCGGATACATTATCCAGTTAACGCATAAATAAGTATGTATATATTTTTTAACATTAAACGGAAGTTTGTTTCTGTCTTAAGCTCACCCTTCCCAGCATGATGTGTATGTGGGCCGATAAAGAGTGCGCTAGTGTCAGAGACACCGATAAAGCCATCAAGGACATTAGGACGGTCAACTTAAGAATAAAAAATACGAAATATCACATTACATCATTATAGTTTGAATATTTAAAAACTAATTATATAAGTTTAGTATCTTGAATAAATCTCGCAGTATACTGTAACTAATATATATATATATATATAATATATATATATATATATATATATATATATATATATATATATATATATGTATGTATGTATATATATGTATGTATGTATATATATATATATATATTATTTGTAGAAGTTTCAATCAGCATATTAACAAACTGTACCCATAAAATTACAATATATGAATTAATTATCTTGATAAAGAACGGAATCGAAAAATGAAAAAAAAAAAAATAAATACAATATGTTCATAATGCATACAGGCTCTGTCTCAATAAACGATATGTTTTTGTTTTATTAAAAATATATGTGAAAGCACTACACTGTGTTTTGATAAGCTTGAAATCCAGGACAATGTCGTAAAAGTATGCACATTCTTACGATATCGTCGAAGATTACAGATAAACCAAGTTCAATGGGTGATTTTTTCTGAATCCTCTAGCTTAAACTGCGATAAGAGAGTGAAAAAAAAAGAATATTTAAGATAATGGTATACTTATTCGTAAACGACTTTATATGAAGAAGTTTCAATCAAAAGTTTAAGTTAATTTTTTTTTTTCATTTTAGAACAGGAAACTTGACCACATACTTCTATGTATACTTGACCTTACTCAGGACAGTTTCTTATCGACATAGAATGTCCGGTCAATACATGACATGCCGAGCACGAAGCCCATCGACATAATGCGAAGTGTAAATAGTTCGGTGACCTGAACGCGTCTATTCTGAGGTCACTCTCTACTAACGATAACGATAATGGTGTATAAGATTTATGGTGGAGTTGTCTCCCTTCTTTGACTCGTTAAAACTGCTAGAGCAATCCATCTCATTAACAGCCAAACCAATACTTTTAATTGGGG